TGAAAATGGTAAATGTTTCTCGCGCGCTCATATAACCTTGTGCAGTTGCGAGCGCCGTAAAACACTTTTTTTTTTAATAAGAAAAATAAATGAGCCATGGCCTAACTGTGCTGCAAATACTGTAAATTTCTTTCTAAAACTAAACATCTCCTTTTTTGTGCTTGTTATTCTCTTGTAGCACTTCTAACCTTCGGCACTTTATATTTTATGACCTAATCGTGTTGCAAGTACCTTAAAACTTTTACTAAATTAAAACCCATTGTTGTGCCAAGGTGTTCCTAATCTTTAGTCAAACGACGTGAAGGCTCTCGTGGTCGAGGGGTTAAGGTGTTCGCCTCTCATTCAGTGGTCAAAATTCTCTACCAACTGAAAATGTTAAATGTGTCCAGCGCGCTCATCCCATATGACCATATGCAGTTGCGAGCGCTGTAAAACACTAACAACAACAAAAAAATCATATTAAAAATGAATTTTCTACTTTGACAAAATGGCCTTGAGAACGCAAGCTTCTCTGGTGCCATTCGTTCAGTTTTAGTAAGAGCTTTACGGCATTTTCAACACAATAAGGTCATATAAGTGCTGAATATTTTAGGTGTTCCAAGAGAGTTACTAACACACAAAAAAAAGAAAGAGAAGAGATAAAAGGACGATAAATGTTTGATAGGAAAGAAGGAGCAAACCACACTATATCACCCTTCAACCCCCAGATAAGGCTAAAACAGCACTTGGACATGGATGGACGGTGCCTTTATAAATAAATCATTGATGGTCCACCACAAGATAACTCCGTTCAAAGATGAGAACAGGAGCAACTGGGGGAAAAAAATACAATCGTGCGGATGAAATAGACCAACGACAATTGGTGGTTGGCGGGTGCTCAGGTAAGTGTGGTTTGCTCCTTCTTTCCTATCAAACATCTATCGTCTTTGTCTCTCCTACTTCTCTTTTGTGTTTGTTCCTCTCTAGTAACACCTCTAATCTCCGGCACCTATTTGACCTAATTGTGTTGCAAGTGCCATAAAACTCTAACTAAACAACGCACAGACAAACCCTAAGTATTGGGACAATGAACTGCTACTTCCATTGTCAGCTTTGTGGTCTGTTCTCTTGGAAAAGCTGTTGTATGTTGTAAAGGGAAACAACCGTGAAAATACTCTTCGGTCTAGTATATTGGACAATTGTATCCCTTGATTTGGTCACATGTGCTGCCGGTTGGGTACATGTACAAGTTTCGAGTCCAGGTGTACACACACACACACACA